AGCCAGTGAGCGGGAACCGGTCTGTATGTGGGATCCGAACCCTCGGGCGGGAGCGCCGCCGCACTTCCCAAGCGGCGCACGCCGGCGCAATACATTACTGTTTTGATTATAAAAGTAATATGACCATATTACAGATCACTTAGGAACTAGAGAAGAGTAAACAACTCATAACCTTGTCATTCTAATATTAAGAGAAAAGTAAACAACTCATAACCTTGTCATTCTAATATTACCACTGTCTCATTTTGATATATTTCCTTCTAGTCACTTTTCCCATGCTTATATATATATTTTTAAATGATTGCCTTCTTTCTGGTGTTTCTCATAGCCCTTTTCTTGGAAAATTTTATTTATATCCACAGAACACTTTATCTCAGTCATCTGTATAACACCTCATTGAATATAAATGTTCATAAAACAGAAAAAAAACCTCACATTAAATTGAATCACCAGGCTGGCCGGTTAGCCCAGTTGGTTAGAGTGCAGCCTTGTAACACTAAGGTCACGGGTTTATATTCCCATACTGGGCAGCCACAAAAAACAAAAACAAAGGGCCGGCCCAGTGGCACACTTGGTAGAGTGCGGCGCTTGGGAGCGCAGCGGCGCTCCCGCCGAGTGTTCGGATCCCATATAGAGACCAGTCCGCTCACTGTTTGAGCGCGGTGCGGGCACGACACCGAGGGGTTGCGATCCCGTTACCGGTCACGAAAAAAGACAAAAAGGAAAAAGGAGCTGGTACTGGGCCCTTGACCCCATGAACAGTTTGCCTTCTTGGATCACTGCCTGAGTGGTACATTCCTGACCAGGAGTCCCAAACTACCTTGGTGCTCTGATGTCTACTGACTCATCACACATTTTCTCAGCCTGGTTCTTCTCGAGGCCATTTTGGGCTCCAAAACAGACATAGGAAGCCTTCTGTTACATCCTAAAGTACCTCTGTCCAACCCCACTAGCACCTGTTGGGAACGTGGTAGAGCTGGGATGGACAGGCTGATTGGGGTGCCAGACTTGAAGGGAATAGTTTCAGGGAAGCTGAACTTAGAGCATATTTCCAATAGTTTCAGTCTGTTTTTCCCTCCAAATATAAACCCCAGGCCATTCTGTTTCATGTTTTGAATGATAGGCAAGAATGATCTCTCAGCTGAACTTTGGTATTTCTATTTGTGGAGTTTACTGTAACTGGTGGTACATTGGCCACTCTGGATTGAGTGCTCTGAGGTGAGAGAGTCTTCTTAGAGGTACATAGACTATGCTTCAGACCCTGAACAAGATCCTTAGAGTGTTTGAGAGATAGAGGTACACAGACTGCCCTTTGGAGCCTGAACAAGATCATTAGAGTGTGGGAGACTGGCCTCTCTCGTACGAGATGGACTAATTGGCTGTGGCGATCCCAGGCGTTTAACTAAATAGATGGCTGTGAAAGAATTATAGACCCCAGGAGTAGTCAGATAAGTCCTCTGCTCAGACTGTCATCCCCTCCCCTCCCCAGTTTAGGTTCTGAGCAGTATTGGACTTGTAGGCTGCAGTTGTCTGTGTCGACTTAACAGGCTGCAGGTGTCTGTTTCCGTTACATGAGTTCCATGGCAAGGGCTTGTGCGTGATTCCAGTGTTAGATGAGTCCTTGTACAGGCAGAGTTGGGGCATGCTCTGGGGAAGAGTTGCCTGGTTCATCACACTCTGTTTTATTTCTCACTGCTTGAGAAATAAAACAGTTAACTGTATTCTTCTAGGCCCCTAAACTCTTTTGGTTGAGTCTTCCTTTTCAGAAGCAGATGTATTTGCATGCCAAAAGTCATAGCTCTGTTTTATTTCTCACTGCTTGAGAAATAAAACAGTTAACTGTATTCTTCTAGGCCCTTAAACTCTTTTGGTTGAGTCTTCCTTTTCAGAAGCAGATGTATTTGCATGCCAAAAGTCATAGCTCTTTGCTTTACTACACAGAGGCTTGTGCCAAAGGAAAAGCCTCTTTCTTTAGTCAGGGTATTTCCCCTTCTCCCTTTTTACTTTGTCATCGTGATTTTGGGACTCGTTAGCTGGCGGCCTGTTTGAGGTTGACTCTCCTGCATTTGCCACTGGATTTGTACTGTATTATTTGGAGATGGAAAGTGAGCAGTTCTTGGTCAGAACCCTCCTCTGCTTTTAGTTGTGTCTGATAAAGGTTACAAGGCCCTTCTTATAAGGATAGCAGGTCTAAGTCGATGGCTGCCTGCTCTAGGAGGCCATCAGTTCCTTCCTGTGGAAGAGGGTCTGAAATGGAAGTCAGAGTGGGAGAAGGGGCTGATCCTGCTGGAGCCAGGCTTACCTCCCCTGGGTTCTGAGGGAAGATTCTTTCCTGATCTGCACTTCAGCCTGCTCTGAATGATGGGAACATTTGTCAACAAGAACCTGAAAACAGTTCAGAAACAGTTAATAATAGTAATTAGAATCGATTTGTATAAGGTAGCTATTTACTTTACAAACTAACAACTTTTGATGTTTTTTTCCTTTGCCCTTTGGACTCCCAGCCCTATCATCCTTCTTTATGTCCTGTAGTGCAGTTCTCCTCCTTCTGACATCCCATCTGGGACCCAGATGAGACCCCTTGCCTCCCTAAGCACACGTACACATGCTCACATTGCTGGGCTGCTTTTTGAAGTCCCAGCTCTCTTACCCTCTCTTTACACCATAGGCCAGATAGCCTCGTGGCTGAGAAGGGGATTTCTGCAGTCTTGGGATTTAGAAAGCCTCTTAGCCAGTCGTGCTTCAGGAGGCACGGATCTGATGTGGTTACAAAATCAAGTCTCTGTTTGATTTGTTTAGGCTCTCA